TTGGATGTATACGAATCTCCTAATGGACATACAGAAGTAATGGATGTCAATGAATAAAAAAAAAAAATTTAAAAATGCATTTGTTTCATTTGGATGACATTATAACATGCAATAGAAGTTCAGGCCCATGGGGAAATTAGTTCAGTTTTCAAATTCGTCCAATAATTCGCACTTGGATAATGAATGGATCCGAATTTTGTTCCATTAGTTTCATTTCGATGCACATGGCGCCGGTTGATTGTCCACTCAGCTCATGCCATTGTCCCTTGGTGGGTTGGACTAGCGTCTGAAAATATCGACTCTGTCTGATTCAAATCTGTTTGATTCAATAATGTACTGAATATATAGCAATCTTCCGGAAAAAAAACTGCAAATTTGTTCAAATCCACCAGGACCAACGAATACACAAAAGAAATGATACAAAACAAATTCCGAAAATGAATCACTATAACATAACAAATATGATGAAACTAAATTCTTCAATGAATGAATTCATCTGAAACAAAACAAAATGAAAATGTCTGGCATGCACATGTCTAATCAGCACTGTAGCCTGTTGGCTGCAGCGCTGATCGAAGGTACATTTTCCAACAAGCTGGTTCCTGAGAAGTCAATCATTACACCATTGAAAGTCTTTGTTATATCTGTTTGATAATGAAACACATATCTGCTGACCCTGCTAGAAATCCAGTGAGCCTCCAACTCTCTGTGCCTGTGCTGCAATGAAATTTAAAATATTATTTTCAGCCCTACGTGTGTTCTGTCTGCGGGGATACAGAACATCTCCACCCATGTCATGGAGGTGACAACACTGCTCTGCCATAGATACCAAACAGTGAGTAAGAACTGTCACCCTATGACAAGATGTGTCCTACTCTTGGCATTTTCAATAAGTTACTCTGAATAATCTGTACTAGAGGTTTGTTGGATCCAGAGCCTAAGAGGTCACTGAAAAGAGAAAATCTTCAAAACTGTGGAATCCTTCAATGTTATTCTGCTGAATTCTTAAAGTCAGACAAACTTGGCTTGAACAATTCATGAATTGTATTTGACTCCTTCAGAAACAGTGAAGCATTACCAAAGAGAAAAACAATGGTAAACTATGTTCAAAGAGGATGTCTGCTTGAAAACACATTCTTTTGTATCTATACTGTTTACAGGGACAAAGGTACTGTGACATTTACAATATGGCTGCTAACAATATTTGGTGTTCCACCCATGACCTTTTGTGTAAGCCCATGGAAAATGAATCTAACACATTTGAGAACACAAACACTTTATGTCTTTTAAAATAAACCTAGGTAAGAAAGACCATTGAATTCCTATCTGATCACTTCACTTGTGGTGTACTCAGTACAGCTAGGGAGGCTTCACTTGATGCTCCCTGGGAAAGGTATGCAGAGAAACCTCTCTGATAGGAGAAAAGACTTCTGAATAAATGTCATTTCACATGGCAGGTGTGTAAGGAAACCCCCAGTTGACACACAGTTACATAGTTAGTCTGGCTGAAAAAAAGACAAAAGTCCATCCAGTTCAACCATTTAAAAAAAAAAAAAAAAGTTATAATCCTATACCCACAGTTGATCCAGAAGAAAAAAACCCCAGCAAAGCATGATCCAATTTTATCTGTATGGTCCTCCCGCACTCTAGGTCCCCTATTAGTTTATACTAAAAAGCTGCTAGCACCTTAGCATATACCCAATGGAAAATGACAAATTGAAGACTAATTGGTGCTGCGCTATCTCTAGGTGATAAATAAACTCCTGTGATGTTAATACCCCACACAGTGTACAAACTTGTAAATAAATATACATAAACCAATAATTATTGAATAGAATGCACATGAGAACATCCAATTAGTGGATAATAGTGAATACCACCCAAACGTAAAGGTGTAACCTAGGTACACCCCTAGAAATAAAATAGGTGACTATGGGTGAAAAAAATACATAATTACAAAGTAAATATATATATATATATATATATATATATATATATATATATATATATATAAATATATATTACCGCATTTTTCGCTCCATAAGATGCACTTTTTTCCCCCAAAAAAGGGGGGAAAATGTCAGTGCGTCTTATGGAGCGAATATGGAGCAGCCGGTCCGGTATTTCCACCACCGCCGTGTCAGAATACCGGGCCGGCCGCTCAGCTCTGCAGCGGGACCTTATGGATATGACTGCTGACCTTTGGGGAGGTGGGGGGAGCAGGTACCTGAATTTGACAGGTACCTGCTCTTACTTCCGCGGAGTTGTTCTTTGACCTTACCTGTTCCTCTATCCAGCGGCGCGCTGTCTTCCCGGCTTCTGTAGTGTGGGCGCTGGGCTTGACAGCCGGGTGCCAAGTGCGCATGCGCAAGAAGCAGTGCTTTTTGTGAATGGTAAGGCGGTACCTGGGACACATGACAGATCCCAGAAGCCGCCGGACCAATCACAAAGCGCAAGTGCTTCTCGCCCATGCGCACTGGGCACCCAGCTGTCATGCCAAGCGCCGACACTACAGAAGCCGGGAAGACAGCGCGCGGCTGGATAGAGGAACAGGTAAGATCAAAGAACAACTCCGCGGAAGTAAGAGCGGGTACCTGTCAAATTCAGGCACCTGCTCCCCCCCCTCCCCAAAGGTCAGCAGTCATCTCCTGTACTGTCCGCAGTCTCTGGTCATCCCTGTGCTGTCCGCAGTCTCTGGTCATCCCTGTGCTGTCTGCAGTCTCTGGTCATCCCTGTGCTGTCCGCAGTCTCTGGTCATCTCCTGTAGTATGTCCGCAGTCTCTTGGTCATCTCCTGTGCTGTGTCTGCAGTCTCTGGTCATCTCCTGTACTGTGTCCGCAGTCTCTGGTCATCTCCTGTACTGTGTCCGCAGTCTCTGGCCATCCCTGTGCTGTCCGCAGTCTCTGGTCATCTCCTGTACTGTGTCCGCAGTCTCTGGCCATCTCTGTGCTGTCCGTAGTCTGGTCATCCCTGTACTGTCCGCAGTCTCTGGTCATCCCTGTACTGTCCGCAGTCTCTGGTCATCCCTGTGCTGTCCACAGTCTCTGGTCATCTCCTGTACTGTGTCTGCAGTCCATTAGTTCTGATTTTTTTTTTACCTGTTTTCTGCCTCTAAAACCTAGGTGCGTCTTATGGTCAGGTGCGTCTTATGGTCAGGTGCGTCTTATGGAGCGAAAAATACGGTACTTCTTTTTGAATTGTGCCCCAAAAAAAACGTGATATGATCCTATTGAGGATCCCAAAACTCAGTGATACAAATACAACACAAATAATATCCTGCAACTGATTAGTTGCTATAGGAAATGCTCCCAAAATGTAAGTGTTCACAGTGAACATAATAAAGGATAGGTGAAAGTAAAAAATTAAAATCTGAATAAATAAATAAATGAATAAACAGTAGAAACTGGTGTGGAAAAATAAAATAAACTGCAAAGTAATTTCTGCAACACACATCTATTACTGAAATCCGCTAAACCTTACAGATTCAAGTGAGAGTTGTGAAAAAACAAATGAACGTGAAATCACAAAACAGTGACCCCTAAATCAGGGGTATGTGAAATAGATGGTGTATTAGTGACATAAATAATATGAACAGAAAGGGTCATGAATACCATGCAAAAGACCTGATGGCGACAAGTCCCATGAACTACATATACTCCAGACAAAAACGTGAAGTCCAATACACCTACAGACGGTGTGTTTTGTAGTTCTTAGATAGTGCTGGTATTGTGAAGGTGAATACGCAATGTAATAAGATCCAACACTTGGTGATATGCCCCCTCACCTCCATGAAGTGACCCTGCAGGGCCAAAAAGCCTTTCTCATATATTATCGCATCAACCAGGAACCAGGATCCACTTCCACAGATATCAGGTCAGCAGATGGATTAATTTCCCTCACTGGTGGATATCAGCACAGCAGGAACCCTCTCCAGAGTAGTAACTATAGGAACAGCCAAAAACTCATACAGCCGGAAGGAATGTAAAAGAAAATGGATGGATTTAATAAAAGAAACAATCAAATGCCCACTCACATGTAATGAATATCATATATGCTTTAAACCACATGCTGTGGGTGTACTTACATGGGTTTATATTGGAGTCCCAAGATGGTGTCTGAACAGGAAATTACATCACCACCTCCTACGCGTTACATCACGCTAACACGTGACTTCCTCAAGACCCAATTTGCTCCTGCAGGGAAAAAAATTCATTCCTGATCCCCCGAGAGGCAATCAGATATTCCCTGGAATACCCTGGACACCTGGGGGAATATCTTTTTCACAGAGCAGGAACAGGGGTAGGATTTTTATCAAGTAGATTTTCAACTTTGCCTTTATAGGGAAACTTAAAGTGTTACTAAACCCAGGACCCTGCATTCACTATATATGGTCTCCCACAGTACACAGAACATAGAAATGCAATTATTTTAGTAAATATAAACTGCTAAATACCTTTTCTCATCAGCAGTTAGAGCAGTCTTGTGACTTCTATCAGTGTCCAGCAGAGCACTGGTTAAAGCTTGTAGGAGGAGTTTTTTATTCTCCTCTAACTGTCCTATGAGGCTGCAGGATCCCTAACCCTCTGTCTGAACAGTGCTGATTGGCCTGTGCTGATCACATGCACTCTCCCATGAAAAAAAAACTCTAGCAATACACACTAAAATGAGCATGTGCAAAGTAGTCATAATAGTGCTCTATTATCAGCAGATGGATTGGGAACAGTAGAAGAAAGGGAGGATCAGAGAAGACAGGATCAAATGGCCTTTTTGCACAATGCGGAGAATTAACCTCTTAGATTCCGCAAAGAGTATACCAAGCATGCTTTACTGCAAATACAGACTGATTTTACTGTTACTGGTGTAGTAACACTTTAAGGGTTTTTGCAATCGATATATACACTATATTGCCAGAAGTATTGGGACAGCCCTCCAAATCATTGGATTCAGGTGTTCCAATCACCTCCATGGCCACAGGTTTATAAAATCAAGCACCTAGGCATGCAGACTCTTCTACAAACATTTGTGAAAGAATAGGTCACTGTCAGGAGCTCAGTGAATTCAAACATGATACCGTGATAGGTTGCCACCTGTGCAATAAGTCCATCCATGAAATCTTCTTGCTACTAAATATTCCACGGTCAACTGTATTGTTATTGTATCAAAGTGGCAGCAACTGGGAACAACAGCAGCTCAGCCACAAAGTGGTAGGCCATGTAAAATGACAGAGCGGGGTCAGCGGATGGTGAAGCGCACAGTGGTCGCCAACTGTCTGCAGAGTCAATGGCAAAAGACCTCTAAACTTAGAGGGGGGATTGGCGACCCCCCTCTAAGGACGTGCTTGAGCACGATACGCGTCAGGAGGAGCCACACCACTCCGTGATGTCACGCTGCCAGAGCAACGTGGAGCTCCGGCGGCCATCTTACTTTATCAGATGGTTAATCTTCATCGATCTCTGTCTGCAATCTTTTTGTTACCTCACCTTGATGCATTACAATAAAGTATTTTAACACCTACTACACTATGGGAGTATCTCTGTTGCCCCCTGGGGGAGTGCTTTAGCCCACAGACCCACCTTTTGGACGGATCATTGCTGCACAGTAAAAGTCTGCTTACTCAGAGGGATACTACCTACCTTGATGATAGGGAGACCCCTAGAGGACAAGGACCACCTGCACCAGCTTCATACTATCTACCATTAGAGGGAAGACCACCCACTATCTGATGACATCTGGATTATTTACACAAAGCGCATTAAACATGCGCATCCGGTGAGTGCACATTACCATCACCATTACTGCACTGACACCAGACCGTAGAGTTACCTGAGCACAAGCACTAATACAGCTACAATCACCTCAAGCTGGAACCACAGAAAACTTTCTTTTTCTTCCTTTCTCACAGGTGTATGAAATTAACCTTTAATCACCATTTTAACCTGCGTGTCTGCACCAAGGCCAAACATTCCAGGGTATGTAAACTTTTAATCAGGGCAATTTGGATGATTTCTGTTATCCTTATGATTTAAAAATTAACCAAACAACTATGTAATACTAAATGGCTTCATATGATCACTATCCTTAAATAAAAAAAACATTTTTTTGCCATGATCAGTCACATTTTCAATATAAAATGCCAAACTTTCACAATTTCTGCCAAAGTATGAAAACTTATGAGCACAACTGAAGATATATATATATATATATATATATAAATATATATACATATATATATATATATATATATATATACACACACACTATATTGCCAAAAGTATTGAGACGCCTGCCTTTACACGCACACAAATTTTAATGGCATCCCAGTCTTAGTCCATAGGGTTCAATATTGAGTTGGCCCACCCTTTGCAGCTATAACAGCTTCAGCTCTTCTGGGAAGGCTGTCCACAAGGTTTAGGAGTGTGTCTATGGGAATTTTTCACCATTCTTCCAGAAGCACATTTGTGAGGTCAGGCACTGATGTTGGATGAGGAGGCCTGGTTCGCAGTCTCCGCTCTAATTCATCCCAAAGGTGTTCTATCAGGTTGAGGGCAGGCCAGTCAAGTTCCCCCACCCCAAACTCACTCATCCATGCTTTATGGATGTTGCTTTCTGCACTGGTGCGCAGTCATGTTGGAACAGGAAGGGGCCATCCCAAAATTTTCCCACAAAGTTGGGAGCATTAAATTTTCCAAAATGTTTTGGTATTCTGACGCCTTAAGAATTCCTTTCACTGGAACAAAGGTTCCAAGCCCAACCCCTGAAAGACAACCCCACACCATAATCCCCCCTCCACCAAAACATTACATTTGGCACAATGCAGTCAGGCAAGTACCGTTGTCCTGCCAAACACCAAACCAAGAAACATCCATCGGATTGCCAGATAAAGAAGTGTGATTCATCACTCCATAGAAACACATCTCCACTGCTCTAGAGTTCAGTGGCGGCATGCTTTACACCACTGCATCCAACGCTTTGCATTGCACTTGGTGATGCAAGGCTTGGAGGCAGCTGCTCAGCCATGGAAACCCATTCCATGAAGCTCTCTACACACTATTGTTGTGCTAATCTGAAGGCCACAGGAAGTTTGGAGGTCTTTAGATATTGACTCTGCAGACAGTTGGCAACTTCTGTGCACTGTGCACTTCAGCATGCGCTGACCCCGCTCCGTCATTTTATGTGGCCTACCACTTCATGGCTGAGTTGCTGTTGTTCCCAGTTGCTTCCACTTTGTTATAATACCACTAACAGTTGACTGTGAAATATTTAGTAGCAAGGAAATTTCACGGATGGACTTATTGCAGAGGTGGCAACCTATCACGGTACCACGCCTGAATTCACTGAGCTCCTGAGAGCAACCCATTCTTTCACAAATGTTTGTAGAAGCAGTCTGCATGCCTAGGTGCTTGATTTTATACACCTGTGGCCATGGAGGTGATTGGAACACCTGAATCCAATGATTTGGAGGGGTGTAACAATATTTTTGGCAATATAGTGTACATTCCAAGCACCGGGTTTGTTTACAGTATCCATGCTAAGGAGGCCTGGATTCATTCACATGCAGCAAGCCAAATCCAGTTATCCACCTCAAGCCCTTTATATGACTGCAACAATGGTTAGTAGAAATGGTGCAAAGCATTGTTTTTCCCAGATTGTGTCAACAGGCTTTGCTCCTATGTCAATGGAACGTTCTTTGGGCTGCATTCCACTTGCATCTGAGCAGTTTGAAAAGTTTCTAAAGTTTATTTACATGTGCATTTGATCTTCTTCTAAGCTGCATTTGGATTTCTTTTGACCTGTATGGGTTTAGAAGCAGTTCTGATGTGAGCAAAAGCCCATCGATACAGGCCCTCTCAAGAATGATAAATGACATTACAAAGCCTTGCATGAGCATCTGATTCTAACATAGGGCAAATATCATCAGCAAACTCTCAGCTGGAGATAAAATCTCATCTCTAGCCATTTTTTTTGGCCATGACCCCCAACTGGACAGAATACCCCTTAGCTTTTGTTCCGGGAACCGGGAGAAGAAGTTAGAGAGATGTATTTCACTGTTTAAACTCTAACTATACTACTAACAAAAACGTTGCTGTATTTGTTCCTATTGGAAATATTTGCCATAACTTCCTGTTCTGGTGACACTGACCATGAGACAGGAAGTAAGGAGAATTCAGCGAGTAGTAAAAACCTGAGCGAGCTTTGCTTCTGAGCTGAGAGCTGATCCCCAGCCGTCATTGGCAACCTATTTCTTTACATTCTCTCCCCTGCCATTCCATTCAGCTGCTGGGAACAGGAAAGGCCACCCTGTGTAAAGCCAAATCATAGCTTACACAGGACTATGAACAGAATGGTGAACTGCCTGGGAAGGAGGAATTAAAGCAAACAGAAGGGTTAAACCTTTCCTGTCAGATTTGTATTGCTGTTCATTACCCACTAGGTGATTTTCCTTCATTTCCTATTATTTCACCAGGATAGGAAATTGGGGGAAACCTCTGTAACAAGGAAGTAGCAATAAAATACATTCCAATAGAGTAAACAAAGGTTAGAGCTTCTGGTTTTATTGCTGTGTCACCATTGGGTAGATTTAAAAAAAATAAATAAATTCCTGATAAAAAGTCCCCTTTTAAATAATTTTGGTAGCAGCCATTTTTACATAGTTATATAGTTAGTCTGGCTGAAAAAAGACAAAAGTCCATCCAGTTCAACCAATAAAAAAAAAAAATTATAAACCTATACCCACAGAGGAAGGCAAAACAACCCAGAAAAGCATGATCCAATTTGCTCCTGTAGCGAAAAAAATTCCTTTCTGATCCCCCGAGAGGCAATTGGATATTCCCTGGATCAACTTTAACCTCCCTGGCGGTATTCCTGAGTGTAGCACGGGGTAAAGTTTCAGTACCAAAAGTGGTAACCCCGAGCTACACTTGGGCTTACCATGCAGCGTTGCATAGGGAGTCCCTGCAGCGATTACCTTGTCCTTTGCTCCCGCGATGCGTCCCCTGCAGTGTCCCCGACCATCTCCTCTAGCGGATGCTGGCATCCGGCTTCCGTGTTCCGGTCCCTGTGACGTCGGGACGTACAAGCGCCGGAACCGGCGGCAAATTTGAAATTTTTTAAAAAATTTCATTTTTTAAAAAATGATTATTACATAGTAAAACATTGCTGTTTCAAAAGATTTCACATACATTTTGTCCCTAGTGCTTTGTCTTGTCCCCTGCCTGCATTTTGACTGTTCTTTCTGCCTGGAAACTTAGAAAAGTCCATGGCGTCCAAAAAGCGTCTCTTTATGTCAAAAGCGGTTAGACCAGTTAGAGAACAGCGATAGTAAATCAGAACCACTTGCAGAATTGAGTGATAATGATTCGTGGGGAAATTCGGCATCAGACACTGAAAACGATTCTGCGACTTTGCTCAGTGATGTGCGAACTTGGCGCTGTATTTCAAATTTCAGTGTTTTTGGTTTGATTATATTATTTAATTAAATTTATTATTATATTATTATTTTTTATGATTATTTATTAAATTATAATTTATGATTTTGTGTTTCAAGTTTTATTCTACCCGGAATGTTTACTAGACTCTTGTTCGGACAGATTTCAGTGAGTTATTCGTAAATTACAGGCCTACAATAAAAAAAATACATATTTCCATGCAAAAAAATGGTACTGCTTTCAGCACCAAAAATCTGAAATAATCATACCGCTAGGGAGGTTAATGTGAAATAGACTAGTTCAAGAGTTGGTTCTGGCCAGCTCAGTGGATTGCTTCAAAAAAGGCCTGGATTGTTTCTTAGATACACAGAATGTAACTGGATATTAACATTTATAGGTAAAGTTGATCCAGGGAATATCCGATTGCCTCTCGGGGGATCAGGAAGGAATTTTTTTCCCAGCAAGAGCAAATTGCTCTTGCTGGGTTTTTTGCCTTTCACTGGATCAACTGTGGGTATAGGATTATAACTTTTTTTTTTCTATGGTTTAACTTGATGGACTTTTGTCTTTTTCCAGCCAGACTAACTATGTAACTTTACCTATAAATGTTAGTATCCAGGTATATACTGTGTATCTAGAAAAGAATCCAGGCCTTATTTAAAGCAATACACTGAGCTGGTCAGAACCAACTCTTGAGGGAGTCTATTCCACATTTTCACAGCTCTTACTGTGAAGAAACTTTTCCATATTTGGAGATTAAATCTCTTTTCCTCCAGACATAAAGAGTGCCCCCTTATCCTCTGTGATGGCCTCAAGGTGTATAACTCTACACCAAGTTCACTATATGAACCACTGATGTATTTATACATGTTGATCATA